AGCAGTGCGCAGACCACTGCATAAAAACAAATATCCCCGTATGGCCTACACAAGCTGTTGGGACAAGTGCTGTTAGCGAGCACCTATGAAGGCCGGCACGGCACATGAGGTGGTCGTGTGGCCAGCATCGGCTACCTTTGTCTCCCCAATACTGATCTTTGCACACTGCGCCAGGTGTTCAATTCAGACTAAGTAAACCTCGAGGAGGCCCATGACTGGTTCAGATAATTATCACCACTGATTTTGGCCGTGGCTGGAAATCGATTTTGGGGTGCTGGGTTCATAGCACAGTGCCCCTAACCACTACACCACCACTCTTCAGTGCACTGAAAACCCATTCATTGACAAGTGCTTGTTGTATTTTGTTTGTTGTCCTTCCCCCGCACCTCCAATTAGCACGGTTTACTACGTACGGTGCGAAATAAATTCACCGTATATACATAAATACACACGCACCCTTGCGCGCATGGCCGTATGCACACAAAACAAGAACACAGACGCACACATATGCACCAAATAAGACGCAAGTCACGCAGAATCACGTATGCTAATATGTGAGGCCCATGACTGGTTCACATGCTAATGTGGGAGGCCCATGACTGGTTCACATGCTAATGTGGGAGGCCCATGACTGGTTCACATGCTAATGTGTGAGTATGTTGCCTTGTGCGGCTTGACACAGTTAAGCAGCAACAATATCATCACCGTGCTGCGTTATAAAAATATAGAAGCAGCGGTGTCTGGGTGATTCACAGATCAGAGAGCTGAGGGGCACCACGGAGATCCTGGTTTGGGTCCGTGCAGCCGCTCGTGATTGAATCGCGTTCTAGAGCCTAGAGAGTTGATTTTCTCAGTGCGGCGACCAATGATCATCACAAAATGCAGGATATTACGTTTATTTTAACATTTAACTTGGATGTACTGCAGCTGTTAGAATGAAAAAAATGTGTTTGACTCATCCAATAAACAATTTCTGCGTAGCAGGGTGGGAGGGCAAGTGCTGCCGTCCCCACCCCGATTTAAAGAGACCAGGTCACTGGAAGGCATCACGGTGGTCGTTTCTCTCTTACAGGGGGTGGCTCAAGTTCTGGTTGGATTTATTTTTCTCATGGCAGAACTCTGGTGGCACAATCGGGATAAAATTTCCCCTAAAAAAAATATAGCGTCAGTGTGGATAGCAGTGTAAATGTAAGATAAATCATCATTATTCATGGTTTACATCAATTAGAAAAAAAACGTATCTTCGTTTATACCTATACACCCACCACTGTATGTGTAGTGAGTCACTTCAAAGACACTAAGAGTAGGAGGCATATACGTTTATTCTACACTTCCCACAGTATAGGGGATAACGCTATACGGGTCAGGACAGCTGGCACACTGCCTGACCCAACACCGACGAGGAGGACGAAGACTTCGTGGCTGACGGCTCCATTCCCAAACCGCAGCAGCCCCGACACAGCGTCCCTTTAATTCTCCCCAGCGTGGCCTGGCTCTGCCCTCGGCCACGCCCCCTTCTGGAACCTACTAGAAGGTTCTGGGCTCTGCCCCACGTGTCCCCTCTGTCACCTTTACCCGACATCCGTGCCTATCACGTGCCCTACTGGCAGGCCAGCCTCTGTATTCTCAAATGCCCTTCACTGCCAGCAACCGGCGCTATGCTTTCCAGGGCACCCTTCACCTGCCCTGCTGGTAGACCGGGCTATTACACCCACGATCCCGCTCTCTACCAGTAACCAGCGCTACTCGCCGTAGTGACACATTCTATGTCACTACATATGTATACTGCACACCCACACACAATCATTTATTCAAGAGTTAGAACACTGCCTGTATTAATGACAGTGGTGAAAGTGTATTGCTTCACATAAGCGAAGGACTGGATGAGCTGCATTGTAATGCGATGTGGCATCTCTGTCGGTTATTACATTGGAGGACAGGTCCTTTTGTTCGGATAAACCGCGTTTATAAAATTGATTCATAAAATGAGTGATGTCCCAGGGTGTATGTTTGTGCGTGTGGTTAGGTTGACTCAGCCTCAAACGAGTGCCTGGTACGATGTAAACATCACCAACGGGGAGACATAGGGTTGTTAGTCTGGCGTGGTGTACCGTGTTGGCCGTCATAGGTGCTCGCTAACAGCACTTGCCCCAATAGTCTGTTAAAGCGATATTTGTGGTTAGCGCACCACGCTACGAAACTGACAAACCCAGTTCGATTTCCGCTCTACGATCAACTTCAGTGAGAAACATCTGAACCTGTTCTGGACCACCCCTAGGTCAACTCGGCCTTAAATGCGAACTTGGGGCGGTTTGTTAAAAATCAGCAAAAGGGAGATAAAGGCGGCCGGGCATGATGCTGACCACACCACCTCCTCGTGCACCCGTGATGGTCTTTATTTGTCCTCGCTAAATCGCACTTGTCCCAACAGCTTGTTAAAGGCTATTTGAGGGATATTTATCCAGACATCACGGTGGCTAGGATATGTTAACGACTTCGCCTCATATACAGGAGGTCGTGGGTTCGATCTCGATCCTGATGCCTTTTACATTTGGAGTTTGCATGTTCTCCCCGTGGTCACAGGGATTTTTCTCTTGGTCAGTTTTTCTTTCTACATTTAGAAACATGCGTTTCGAGTATTTCGCTGCTAGAAATTTCCACATGATGAGCCACTTCATTGAGCTATCATTTGTCGCCAAGTCGCTGTGATTTAGAGCTAGATAGCCCATTGGGCCTTACCTGATGAAATTTAAAAAAATGTTTATAGTTATTAGTTTGTCTTTGTGTGGTTCTAAACTTGTTAACAATGTATATTCATATTCGGTATGTGTTACTGATTTTCAGATTGATCTGAAGAATAAAATAAATCAGACTTGGATACCGAATTTCAGATGGTTTGGAATTTTATTTTGTTTTGGATTGATCAAGAAATATGATATTACGGGAAATAACATAAAAGATAATGTCCCGTGGCATCGGTTGACCTCACTTCTGTCAGCACGAAGACACGGAAAATTAGTACGCAATATTAATGACCTGAAAAATACCCCCACAAATCCAAAATTGTCATTAAAAACCCGATAATGTGAAATCAAATTTGTTTTCACGTATGAAACGCAACCCGAACATATATATACACACACATTGCACACACGTGGATTCTCAGTTTATTGCGATGCATTGCAAATGTAGGGGGGTAGGGAGTCAGAGGGAGATTTTTTTTAATATGCCAATCAATGAGAATTGCATGTCCAATCTGTTCCAGGTCAGTCACCTGGGAGGTCAGGTTTCCTAATTGATATGTGATGTGCGATTTGTGTAAGGTTGTCGGGTGGGGGAGGCATTCAATCTCTGGTGCTCGACCGTGGCAAGTGATTGGGACAGATGATGGTGAGATCCTAGCTGATGGGGACTGCCCAGATTTGTCAGCCTAATTGGATTCCGTTTTTTTACAGCGTGCCAGAGTATCTGTAAAAAAATAATAATTGGTTTATTTTTTTCAATTTAATTTCATTGAATCGAAATCAATTATTCATGAATCCAAGACTGATGTACGGTATTTGCATTGTAAAAACTGCATTTGCAGCGCAGTTTAGATGCATGTGATATCCGCCCCTCCCACCTCCCTTTCGCCCCAACCCTTCACCAACTCGCACTAACCAGTGGGTATGGTCAAATCACTCCCCATGGGTAGCACGACGTGTTAAGGCTTTCATTCAGAAGTGTATGATAATGATACATGTGTGTGCGAATTATATAAGTCCACATTTATACATTTAACGTAAGGTACTTTTCCGCAAACATGAAATGAGCAAGCAATATCAGGGCTGCACCTTCAACTTGATCTCACACTATGTATGACTGCGTGCATTATTGGACATCTGCGAAAAAGAGCTTCATAGCTCATCGGATTCCTCCAGTATATATATAAATATTCTTTTAAAAAAACAACAACGCTATCGTTCTCATGGTGTAGAGACTTAACAAAAAACACCGATATCCAACGCCTTCAAATGGACCTCCCTCCTCTGATAGGGGTGTTGGGTCATTTTCACGAAGCACCACCTTTTTTTATAGTGGAGACAAATAACGAGATGGCCTTCCCCGAGCAGACCCGCATCTTCATAAGCGGCACTCTATTCCCCTCTACACTTTATTGTACAATAAAGCTCTCCGCTCGGATAATTTCCTTAATTAGAGGCATTATAGACGCATGGACCCGCATTGTCGCGCTCTTAAAACTTTTTGTTCATGGCATGCAGGCACTTCGACGAGCCACCATTCCACAATTGCAATCTCGCTATATACAGACATATGCGTCGGTTGGTTATTATTTGTTTACAATAATAATGATGATGATTTTCTTGGTTCTTTCGGTAAAGTCACGTAGAATGAGAATAAAACAATATAATACGCTGTCGTCCCGACAGTTCTGTTCCTTCACCTGAAGAAGGCTACTTGTGTTGTGGCCGAAACGTCGTGAGAATTTTATTGTCTTATTTTGTTTTATTGTTTTATTCTCATTCTACGTGACTTTACCGAAAGAACCAAGACGATGAATCCTTGCAGTCACGAAAGCTTTAGATCGAAAAATAATGATGATGACGAAAATCATGATGTACCCTAACCAAGAAAATGTTCTCCGAGTTGCTGAAATTATTTTATTTTTTATTCAGGAGGGTTTTATTGTGAATATAAATTTCCTGTTTGAAATATACCACGACATAATTAGTTATTTCATTAAGTGAAACGTTGTTGCTGCGCTACCCGTTATAGCCTGGGTTGCTATTTGTCCATAGCTTCCCAGGATCGGCCCATTTTTTTAGGTGAGCTGTCCCGAGAAATATTGGCGTCTTACCAGGACATCAACATTAATGGTTTATGTCACCCGTATTATAAAAAAAAACAATTCACGCGCATGCAATGCTCTCCTCTTCCGGTGCTGTGAGATATTATATTTTTTTCCCCATGATATGTCCCATTTTTTTTGTACCTCAAAGGTGGCAACTCAAGTGACAACTTCATCTGTCAAGCAAGAGGAGGCTCTTGGTGGAGCGGGGTGCGGTGTTTTCGGGGTAAGAGGTGGGAGGGGGGGATATAACACCCCATACAAAATGAGCTCCTCTGCGCTCAATGGAGCTATTCTCTATAATTTTTAAACGTGAACGAAAGCAAAGGATAATGTGGGCATTCTAGCTGAAATGGTGGTGGTTACGGGAGTGGTTTTAGACCCAATTGATGTGGAATAGAAATTCTACAGCTGTGCAACTCCCGACGCATGCGCACAGACCCTAAGCACTTAATCGGATTTGAAAACAGATCAATCGCATGCCCTCTGCTTGTAGACTTGCCAGGTGCTGGAGGGGCACTCTCCTAGTGCAGTGTGTGCTGCAGATGAACACTGTGCTCCAAGACCCTCCTTGTTCACCAAGGATGACCACATCTAAGTAAGCAGCAGTCGATCAACCTTACTGTTCCCACGTGCCCACAACTCCACTCCCACACTCACCCACTGTACCTATTCGTCGAATCGTCCACTCGTCCACTCACCTACTTATACAGTCACCCACTCACCCACTCTCCTACTCGTCCACTCGCCCACTCTCACTTGCATTTTCGTCCACTGACTCATTCGCCCACTCTCCTATTCACCTAATAGCCCGTTCACACCACTAGCCCAGTCTCCCACTCACACCGTCACCCACTCACCCATTCGTCCACTCGACAACTCACACACTCATATCCCCCACCCACTGGTACACTCACCGACTAGCTCACTTTCCAACTAGTTCACTCGCCCACTCGCCCACTCACCCATCTGCACACTAACTCACTCTCCCAATCGCTCACGCGCTCACTATCTCGCTCACACACTCACCCGTCTGCCTGCCCACCCACTCACCTCGACGCCCACATGACAATTCTCCGCACCCACCCCGTGGTGGAAATTGCCTGCCACTGGGTGCTCGCAAAGCTGTGAATTTCATTCCAATTGATTAGATAATATTTAAAATGAACCTCTAAGCAGCTGCAATATTCAACATTTTAGTTTGTCCCTTATTATAACGAATGTAAGTGCGATGTATAAGTATGCACTGTTTGTGTATGTATATGCTATGTTTGGCTGGTGACGTTCGTGAGCAGCTATTAAGCTCAGAATTGGCGAGTGCTCAATCTGCACTTTGTCTTCCAAGAGTTAATTTCCCAAACACGGAACACCGGATACTCATTAAAGGGCTCAGTTGCTCGAGGAAGAGGCCCAGAAGGAATCGGGACACCGATCCACAGGCACGAGACGAGCACGCATTCATCTTTGCACGCAATTTGCCTCCATTCGGCGTTATTTCACCACGTCATCGTTTTTTACGAACTACAGCGCACAAATACAATCATCGGGATCTCACTCTCGCGCATTTGTGCCATGAGAGCAATGTGCTGCTTAATTAGGCATGTGATGAAGAAAATCAATCGTGCTGCCTTTTATTCCCTTGTCTGTGAAGGGGTGGGGGTGTGGTGAAAATCAACAACAACAACAACATCCATGCAGGGACAACGATTCCGCGCTTTTGTTTTGTATTTTTTGCCCCCAAAATCCGCCAAAAAAGTTCACCGCCGTGGCTCCATCGCGTGCGCGTACAGGCGCGGTGGTGCACGTCGAATACACGGATAGCGAGAGGCCCACACTTACCAATTACATCGCCTGGCCGTGTGAAAATTTAAAAAAAATATAAATGTTTAGTTCAGATTTCGCTCCCTACTGATGTTAGCCGTGGTCTGGAATCAAACTCGGGGACGCTGAGGTTCGAAGCGCGGTGTCCACTCCGCTCCCACAACAGTACCGCCATGAGTAAAACAAAATAACAACATTACAGCTTAAACTGCCGTGGGACTGGACACAAATACATGGTGGCGGAAAATGGAACCAACGCCCCTTCGTTGTGCGTGGACATTGAGCAACTCAGGGGCTGAGATCCTCGCCGGCTCGCTCGGTGCACCTGACGATCCGGTGGCAGTGGTGGCGGTGTCCACTTGAATACCAATCGAGGATCTTTGGCCGCGCTGGTTCATTGCTCGGGGTAAAAAAAAGAATGGGGCATTATTCATCAAACAGCCACCCGCACTTATACAACTTTGAGAGTTCGCAGAGACATCGGGCCTACGTGGCGACCCACAACGACGCTCGACAGACACTCAGGCGCGGGTATTTGAATCTCGCGTCAGTTCTTCTTTCTGTGCCCCCACCACACACCCCGCTGTGACCCCCCTCCCCTCTCTCTTTGTCGTCTCCCCCGTTCTCAGCTGTCATTCGCTTTGTGCCCTTGCCGGCTTTGTTCGCCGTCACAGCTCCCAGCGGCGTGTGGTGTAGATTCACTCGTTTTATTACCGACGGTGTGATATTTCAAATTCTGTCAGGTCGATCTAATCAGCAGCTTTACCTTTTTTCCTTCTCTTCCAGCCATTCCGTGTGTGTGTGTGTGGTGTCATATCATGCAGAATATATACAGTAGTAGTGCACATACGTTAATAATAATACGGTAGTGCTAAAAAAAGCAGTGTCAGGATACTGCCACAGTGGTGTGCATTGGTTATCAGCAAGGTGGACGTCCTCGCCGTCACCTCTCATCCCGGCAGTTGAAACAATGGGGCAAGTTTATTAACCCCCCTCCCCAGTGTGGGCACCCCCCCCTCCCCTTCTTACAAGACGTCTGGGCGGCGTGGAAAAGTCAAGATTTCGTCTTGATGAGAGGCGCTCTGGAGAACTCCGTCGAGTGGAGGGCCTTCCTCTAGCAGCGGCGTGAACAAGCAGTTGCAGGGCTGCGCCTTTACCCCCTCATTGTAACTGGATGTGTTTGCGTACGGAGGGTGCACGGTTAATGCAAATGCACGGATACAGCAGCAGCGGCAACAACAACAACAACAACACCACCACCAGTTGGAACAAACGACCATTGCGTCTCGTCGTCCGTTTCACTTTGCTTTGGCGGAGTCATTTCAAATCAAGCTGTCAACAATAATCTGTATTGAGTGAGTTCGGCGTTGGTGCCATGGGGAAGTAATGCATTCACGTGGTGGGTGTTTTGCAGTCCGGGGGATGAGGATGCACAGAGGCCCGCAGACGAACGAGCGATTTTTGCACAATTTCAGACACCAAGGGCCAACGTTCGAATTACGTCGCTTCAAGCGGCAAGCGCGGGACACGGGCACCGCGCGCAAAGTGAACGCGACATACGGTCCGTCCACGCACATAAATTCATGCCCCGAGTGTATTCACGTGACAGTGCTCTGCACGCGACCAGATATACGATTCCATATTTGCTTCGCGTTAATGCAGTTTTTCCAGAATGCAACAGCACCGGGTACGACGAAAGGAACATTACTCAATAAAACAAATCTGGTAATTATATATTCGATAGGGAAGGGTGGGGGTGGGGGGGAGCAGCGATCTGATGAAGTTGGAGGTTTAAATCCTCTCCGTGATCCTCCCACGTACCAAGCCACCCCGGATTTAAGGAGGCAGGTGTTGTTGCGCAGTGTGGGCTGCTGACTTTCGCAATAAACAACGAGCAGTTGTCCCGGCATGGTGGCGCATGCCTGTGATCCATCTCTGTGTAGCCAGAAGTAGGTGATTCACAGCCATCGTTTATTTCAAACTTCCAACATACAAATGACCACAGAACTTGCAGCAGGCAAGCAGGCTACTGGCCTGTGTGGATATTTGTTGGTGCTGTATATACATTTTACAGGCCCGTAGACACAAACAAAAAAACAAGATAAGGAGCTGGTGAAGCTTTCCACGTGGGACTATCGTCAAAACAAGCGTCCCAGGAATCGGTGAAGCTATCCTGGACACGTTAAATATGTCATGATCATTAATACCCTCTACTCTATACTCTTTGGTTCTTTCGGTAAAGTCACGGAGGTATAAAATAAAATAAATCACGACGTTTCGATCGCAACACAAGCGGTCGTCCTCAGGCGGAAAAAAAATAGAATCCAGCAAAGGAGCTTGCTGAACCCTCTACTCGTTATCTGCATGTGCTGATGTTTTTTTTTATTTTTCTGTTTAAATTGTTGTTGTTGTTGCTGCTGCTGTTCTCGCGCACCACGGAACGTTCTCATCCGCGTTCCCAAATCAAATAAACTCAATCACGAACTTGCCCCGGGACCAAATCGCCAGAAGCCTTCGATCTCTTCAGATCTCACAAACCGAGCAGGGTGGAGCCCGGAGAAGTGTTTGGTGGGATGGCTTCGGCCATGCAGCTGCGTGGTAAACAGCAGAGGGGATCGAAGTAAAATTCCTCGGCTTACTGTACACTACTTGCATGCTCTTACGGTTATGCTTCCTGCCTTCATTAATTCACCGCTGGCACCTGCAGTAATGCAATTCAAGCAGTGGGGAGATGGATGTGTTGCCTTGTGTGTGTGCGTGTGTTTATTTGGCCTTGACACCTGCATTCAAAAACCTGCGTTTGGAAATGGTGTTCCTTGTAGTGCAGTCGTAGAGTTTGAAATTGTGCCACATTAATTCAGTTTTCCATCCACGTGTGAGAAATGGATATCAATTCGTGATGTCGCTGTTCATGAATAAATTAGATTTACTTTGAAAAGTATAAACACTGTACTTTGAAAGTATAAATATTATGATGTCTCTGTGTTGTGCGAATATACACATTTGATCAAACTAGATTCGAATCTGTTTGTCTTGGTGTGTCTTTGTGTGTGTCTCTCTCTGCATGTCTGCCTGTGTTGTTTCCGTGTCTGTGTTTTATCATTCATCCTTACCTCATGATGGTTGCTTGTGTTGCAACCGAAGCGTCGTATTCTATTATTATTTGATTTTATTTTCTACGTGACTTTACCGAAAGAACCAAAGAGTACACATTTAATTTTAATGGGTAGAGATGTCTGTATGGGTAGCACTACAAGTAGGTTCAATTCCAATGTGTAATATGTTAGTGTTCTCCATTAGTAGTTGTGTGTGTCTACAGGTATCACAGGTTCCTTCCTATGTACAATACTACACAAACTAGGTTTGAATAGACATCCTTAATGTAACATTCCTAAGAGTAGAGATATTAACAATTATTATAATTTACTTAAAATCGTTGAGTTACATTGACAGAAATAAAGAGGAAAAAGTGGATTAAGAAAGCTAATTACATCATTAAAACTGCGAAGAACTTAACTACCTCGCCTGGTATACAGGAGGTCGTGGTTTCAATTCCGACCCTGACGCCTGCTGCTGTATATTTGGAGTTTGCGATGTCTCTCTCCCCGTGGTCACGTGGATTTTTCTCCAGGTCCTCCGGGGTTTCCCTTCACATTTCTAAATATGCATTAAGAGTATTTGGCTGCGAAGCATTTTCACATGATAAGCCACTTCGTTGAGCTATCATTTGTGGCCAGGTCGCTTCTGAAAAAGAGCTATATAGCTCAGTGGGCCTTACCTGTTAAAATAAAGAGTAATTAGCAGCGAAACGTCGTATTTAAACTGTAGATGTTGTGGATTCACTCTTCAACACACCGGTGGGCTAAAGTAGTGAACTAATTGTCTTTTGTCCACGTGACACTTTTTTTTGCTGATTGGCCGTGTCGGGTGGTGGAGGGTTACGACACATTTATAAATAACACGATCTAACACAAAAATCTTTATTATGAATATTGGTCGCGAAAGCCTACGCGTTAAACAGAGTTTAAATAGTTTTAATTTTTAGCCTTGTAATTTTGGGAAGGATATGTCGTTAGAAAAGATGATGATCGACGGTCATGAATAATGACGGAGTGGAAGCCAATGAATGGAACGCATCAGAGTGGACCTCCACGGAGGGGAGATGGAGTGATGGCCTCAACGCGTGTGCATGTATTAGGTGGATTGTTACACTGCAGGATTGAGAGGTGGTGGCGACTCATCCAACAGTGTATTTTTTTCCCAAAGACTGACGATTATTATAATGATGCGTTAGAATGTGCAATTGGGAACTTCTACTGCAGTGGTTCTTAACCTGGGTTCGATCGAACCCCAGGGGTTCGGTGAGTCGATCTCAGGGGTTCGGCAGAGCCCCCGCCACGGAGGTCCGGACACACTTGAATTATTGTGTAAATTTGTGATGACACACACGGCCCGCTTGGCCATCACTGGCTGCAGATGATCATGCTACACTGCTTGGCCAATCAGCGCTGCGGGGAATTTAGTGCGTACTCAGTAGTCAACGTGTGACTGTTGTTGTCGTACGTCGTGTGATTTCTTTAATATTTTATCCATACTAACTATGTCGGGCAAAAGAAGAAAGTGGTCGGACGAATATGTACAACATGGATTCTCATGTATCACGGAACGTGATGGGAGTGAGCGTCCTATCTGCATGATTTGCAACGCCAAGTTGAGCAACTCTAGTCTTGCACCGGCAAAACTAAAGGAACACTTCTTGAAGCTGCATGGAGACGGGGAATACAAGAACACAACACTTGCTGAATTCAGGGTGAAGAGAGCCAGATTCGATGAAAGGGCCACTCTGCCTGCTCTTGGATTTGTACCTGTTAACAAACCGATCCTGACAGCATCGTACGAAGTTGCTTACCTGATCGCAAAGCAGGGCAAGCCACACACCATTGGTGAAACACTTGTGAAACCAGCTGCATTAAAGATGGCGAATCTGATACTCGGAACAGCGGCCGAAGGTAAATTATCCCAAATTCCCCTTTCAAATGACACCGTCAGTGACAGAATAGAAGACATGAGTAAAGACATCTTGGCTCAAGTAGTCGCGGATCTGATTTCAAGCCCGGCAAAATTCAGCCTTCAACTCGACGAAACCACAGACGTTTCTGATCTAAGCCAGCTTGCTGTTTTTGTACGCTATGTGAAAGACGACATGATAAAAGAAGAGTTTTTATTTTGTAAGCCTCTTACAACAACAACGAAGGCAGCCGATGTGAAGAAGCTTGTGGATGACTTCTTCAGAGACAACAATCTTTCATGGGATATGGTTTCTGCAGTTTGTACGGACGGAGCTCCAGTCATGCTGGGAAGAAAGTCTGGTTTTGGTGCGCTAGTAAAGGCCGATGCACCACACATCATTGTGACGCATTGTATTCTGCACAGGCATGCGTTGGCAACAAAAACATTACCTCCAAAAATGACAGAAGTATTAAAAACTGTGGTGGAATGTGTGAACTATGTGCGAAAAAGTGCTCTGAGGCACCGCATCTTCAGTGAGCTGTGTAAAGAAATGGGCTCTGAATTTGAGGTACTTCTGCTCCATTCTAATATTCGGTGGTTATCTCGGGGACAGGTGCTGAATCGTGTTTTTGCCATGCGTGTGGAATTAGCCCTGTTTTTGCAAGAGCACCAACACTGCCATGCAGATTGCTTCAAAAATCCTGAGTTCATTCTCATTTTAGCGTACATGGCTGATATATTCGCAGCTCTCAATCATCTCAATCAGCAGATGCAGGGTGGTGGAGTCAATATCATGGAAGCGGAAGAACACCTGAAGGCTTTTCAAAAAAAGCTACCGTTATGGAAACGACGAACAGAGAACAATAACTTCGCAAACTTCCCGCTTCTGGACGACTGTGCAAGTAAGATCGAAGATGTGTCTGGAATCGGAGATATTTCTGTATCCACGGAACTGAAGCAAACAATTGCCACGCACTTAGATGAGCTTGCAAAGTCTCTCGACGGATATTTCCCTACAAGAGAGTCATATCCAGCATGGGTGAGACAGCCGTTCACGTTTGCTGTTGAAACAGCAGATGTCAATGATGAATTCCTCGACGAAATCATTGAAATTCAGCAGAGCCAGGTTCAACAGCAACTCTTCAGAACAACAACGCTCTCAACGTTTTGGTGTCGACAAATGAACAAGTATCCAGTTATTGCTAAGAAAGCCCTGGATTTTTTTATACCATTTGTTACAACATATCTTTGTGAGCAATCCTTTTCGAGGATGCTGGACATAAAAACGAAGAAAAGGAACAGACTTTGCTGTGAAAATGACATGAGAGTGGCACTTGCCAAGGTGAAGCCACGCATATCTGAACTGATCTCTCAAAGGCAACAGCAGAAATCACATAGATTTCCAGGTATGTAATTTGTTGTGAGTTTATGCATTGTGTTGGTTTTATTATTTGAACAAGGTAATGTTCATGCACGGCTCATTTTGTGTACCAGTAAAAAACATATCTATGTCTTGAATTTGAAAAAAATCACATTTTATTTTTCACTAAAGAGGGGTTCGGTGAATGCGCATATGAAACTGGTGGGGTTCGGTACCTCCAACAAGGTTAAGAACCACTGTTCTACTGGAACAAACGTTATTCCCAATAAAAGGATTTCACAAAACCCTACGTCACCTGGGATACAAGGAACGTTCAGCTCGGAGGCAAAATCGTTGACATCGCCTCTCGGTCCGCGTTGCCGCTCAGCTTTCACCGCTCGCCACGCAGACTTCTGCGGCGTCGCGACTCACGCGGCTAAAGCAGTGGAACGACGCCTTCCCTAAATTACATTCTCATGCGGAGAGTGAGGGGGTGGGGGGTACAGGGGGTGGGGGGGGGTACAAGGTGGTGGTGGGGGGGGTAGCGGCTGCGTATCGCTCGCGTCTTGGGTGTCCGGGTCACGTTTTTTTCCACTTTTTTTTGTTTGCGCCGGCCAACGGCTCGGACGGCCACGCAGCAGCGCCGCTGCGCTGTGAAATCGCGAGGGCCTTGGGTCGACTTCAACTTTGTGATTGCGAGACGTGGGGGAGGAGAGTGCATCCGCGTCTCGCCATCTCCCCTCCGTCCGCCAGCACGTCCGGCGGGTCGCGGCGTGCCACTCGGCACGTGGCCGCTTTCCTGTAACGCGGCCTCCTGAAGGAACATTCTTCACGTTTCATTCGCGAAGTGTTTCGGTGTGAAATTCTAATAACAAGAAGAAAAATATCACACGTGGAAGCGAAGATTCCCCTATAACCGAACAATGAAAAAGTGCCGTGGTTCTATGTCGGCTACAATTCACTTACCTCTTTGTTTCCCCCATGGGTCGCGCAAAGTCGCAGCGTTCATAAGAGCAAGCCAATAAATCTATCGTTATCACTTTCCAGTGGCATTTGAGGGAAATAGGACTTTCATACACAGCATACTTACACACATTTATAGCGACTTTACGCACGCACGTTTGATCTTTGGTACACTTAATGGAATGGAACTCGTCCAATCGGAGGCCCAGCGGGGACATGGAGCGGGTGCTGGAGTGGATTATTCCAGCACATAATCGTGAGAGATGACAGCGACTTTGCAAGATCGACATCCAGCAATGGAATGACCGTGGCTGACGATGACCATGACGTTGAAGACACTTAAAAGAACAAGTGTTCCAATCTGATTTCAAATATTCTGAGCGGCCTTGAGACTGCTCACTGAGAAGCCACACCTTGCTCAGACTGCAGCGAGCCTGTCGGTTTTTTTTGGGGGGGGCCGGGGCGAGGTCACTTTGCTAACGAGGCGCATTTACATTCACAGCGCAGCGCGGCGTCACGTTGCACCAAGCCTAACGACCCGTTTGTTGTTGTTGTTGTTCCAAACAGGTGACCGATGCGGCGACGCTGCTTCGCGAGCGGCCGGCTCAGTGGACCAAGGAGCAAGTGGCAATGCGGCCACGAGGCCCCCATCACGGCTTCTCATTTTCAGAATCGCGCCTTTTGTGGTGGCCCTCCCGCTACCTCGGCTCGATGAAGGAGACGGCTCTCGCCGTTGATCTCAAGTCCCGCTGCCTGGCTTGAGAGAATAAAAATGGGTTTAGGAGCCCTTCGATGACAAGCGGCTGAATTCACGCCTCTGAAAGTGGACACTAAAACAGATTTTCTGTCGGCTCACTCGTTTTGAACGTTAAAAAGGAAAGGGAAATCAATTACTTTGCTGCACACGACTCCAGATGCTCGGCAAGCATCTGGCATGTTAGGCGACACGTGTGGTCATCTGCAAGCCCACTGGAATCGTCTGCATACATCCTTCTCCAATTGGCTTGAAGGAGAGTGAGAACTGTTGAGCGCTCATGAGAGACGACGTCTCATTCTCTTGAAGAAACCACACTTTGCGGCGGTCCCTGGAAACCCGTGCACGTGCTGGGCGGGAATCTGAAGAAATACATCGTAGAGATGCCTTAAATCTGTTTCATGGGAACTTCTAAATAATTCCATTGCCCCCCTCCCACCCCAAGCAGCACAGAGCCTTAAGAAAAGCCTTCAATAAAAATGTCAAGGGACTAATTGGATTGTGCGGCACGTCCTTGAGAGTGGCAGATGAAAACGGAGAAGGGAAAACGCCGCCCAGGTTACTGATTGGGGCTGCGTTTCTGACGTGGACACGAGAAGACGCGGCCCGCGTCGGTGTGGACAGCAGCTGGCACGGGGCCTACGGAGCCACGTGGCTAAAGGTGCACGCACGCTCCGTCCTTTCGGGAAATGAATAAGTCAAAGTCAACACCAATATCAAACTTTTATAAAGCACCGTGTGTAATCGTAAAATGACATCCTTGTTATTTTAAATGGTGCACACGAATTGATGTCCGAATCATAATCTGTTTACAAAGTAAGATGTTACAAATCGCGAGAGAGCGGGCGGAAAGTGTCACATTTTAAATTGATACCCGTGGGATTTTCCTGCCAACCGACTTCACTTTCCTCCCCCTGCCGCCAATTGCTCTCTCTGGTGAAGCACCTGGCAATGGAGAGGAGGAGTAAGGGGACACGGATGGACTAAGCAATGCCATGCGAAGCATGGACCCGTCTGGAGAAGCCGGCACGTACTCCGACACGTGACTGGGAAGCACACGCTTGAGCCCCTGCAATGGAAGACAGTGCAGGTGTTCGGAATTAACATCTGGCGTTCCACTCCTCTGACCAGCATCTGTCAGGTACTGCAATCAGTTTCATTTTATTTATCTATCTTCTTGCAGCGACTATCGTCGTTATTATTATTACTAGCCTTTTGCCCGTCCAAGGACGGGTGTATTTCAGTAAATCTGAAACATTCAAGTGAAAAGACAGATCGCGACGTGATATATTCATTGCATCAACGCACGTGCAATTTGTAAGGGCGCGGTGACACAGACCTATTTAATTTAAAGGTTATAATCCCTTGTTCATCACGACGTCCTTTTTACTTCGATGTCTCAACAACAGCGTTAGGAGATCACGTGATGACGTGAGGGTTCTGCCTTTGCAGTGAGGGTTGTGAGTTGACGCCGAGGAGGGGGGAGGAGGCGCCTCGCCCCCCCCCCCCCCCATGTGGAGTGACGTCACCCGCTAATTAATATTAATTGGGGGGGGTGTCCATTTGGAGGACGTCACCTGCTCGTGAAAATTAATGAGGGGGTGTGGCCGCTGTGGAGTGACGTCACGAGCGTTAAGGACATTCCTGGGTGATTATAGTCGGTATCATTACCGTCGTCGTCATCAGCCGTGACCGTTCCACTGCTGGATGAAGGTCGCTCCAGGTCCCGTCACCTCTCATGGCCCTGCAGTGTAAGTTGGCCTTGCATCGGCGCACGAGACCATCTCATCGCTCCACCACCTCGGATATATGTGTACGAGGTATTAACTTTATTGCGCGCTGTGTCCAAGTAAACCAGACAACGAGGAGGTGAACTTTTTTTGTCAGATAAATCCTAAATGCATGTTGGCGGGAATGGTTAGCGCACTGCACGACGATTCCTGTCCATGGCGAACATCAGCGGCGAGTGATATCTGAACCGGTCCTGTCCACCCCTTTAATCAGCATGTAATCCACTGACAAGCATGGTGAAACGTTGTCGTCATCTGAGACATGCTAACTGAAAATACGATTGTGAAACGAATCATATGGCTTTTTACCTTTTTTTTAGTAAGTACTGTAATATTTTAAAGCAATTTTTTGCTTTGAAAATAAGTTTTGCGGTAAAAATGGTTTGAAATACCGGCCAGCCAGTGTGGTTGGGGAGTATGCACGCGTGGCGTACGGTTGCTTTTATTCGCACGGCATTCTGGGGGATTAGTTTCTGTAGTTTGTTTACAAGAGGATGTTTACAAGAGGAAAGTAGATTTCCTTCCGGTGAATTCCCTGTCAACTATAAAAAAGGGAAAGGGATCGATACCAGAAGGACCATATGTGGACCGTATGGAAGAAGCAGAGCCCAGCTGCTGGGTCAAACTCGGCAGATGTGTGAAATGTTTAACAAGAGTGGTACCACTTCACATATCCCTCTCTCTTGTACAGCCCATCGGCCACACGGCCGTCTGGGAGTGCATCATTTCATGGTTCAATTTGAGCAAACTCTGGAGCGGATTCGCCATAGAGAGTCACATCAGCAAAGTCAGGCTTGCTTGACTCAATGCTGGTGAATTGCCGCTGTCACAGGCAAGTACACTCCCTTTATGATATGGGTCCTAGTTCACCACAAAACTGTATAAATAATTAGACATACACGAAATACCTTCATTTTGGATGGATGACTCCATAATGATCCAATTCAAAAAGCGAAACAAAACCGATTTTAAGAGTTACAGATCCATTAGCCTCTCTTCGTACGTTTACAAACAGTCCGCGCGGCTCGGAGTGAACTTAACAACGGTCAATTTAATAGCCAACCGAGCGAGTCATGCCGATTTTTGGCAAGATTTCCTCTTTAGATTCCAGAAGAAGACAAACGAATATTAAATTGCGTTATGCTTGGCTTTCGTAGATTCTGTACAGGTATTTGAATCAATATGAACATATTCGCCTTCATCCGGCAGTGACTGATGATGACGAGTAATAGAGATTGCTTGCCAATGCGCTAACAAAAGATGCACATTGCATGATATCAAGGGTGCTCAATGGCACATTAAAGAGGTGGGTTTTAAACACAAAGGAAATGATAATTAATCATTCTTTAATTCAAGGCACACTTGGTGAGTGAAGCATTGGATATGGTTTACTCTATTTGAAATGAAAAAAAAAATCTGATAAAATAACGGAGGGGATTAAATTATATGCATATAATCCTCGAGAGATATATTAAGTTGCGCAAATGAGCATGGCTCAGGTTTCCAGGGAAGCGCCAGGTGTGCTCAGGTGCATTTAAAAGTCAATTGCACGGAAACGTATCAATCTGATTGGCCGTCTTGGCTGTGCCACGCGTGGACACTGGTACGGAGCCAAAACTGGCAGCTCGTTTTGGGCAATCAAAGTCAAACATTATTTTTTTAATGGTGCAAGATAATAAGCTTACCTCCCTTATGCTGAATCACGTTAAAAAAAAATACGGGGAGGGTGAATTATCCTCTCAGCTTCTTCTGTGGATATTAAATTGCCTGCATAGCCATGCAAATCGGTTATATCGCTTTTATAAACGCGAAAACTGGAAATGCGAAATTTGTAACGATCGTTTGAAAATGCCTGAAATAGAGAGAGAGAGAGAAGAAACCCACCGTGTGGTCGAATTTGTGCAGCTTATTCCAGACTGGAGGTTTGGATCAGAAATGGGCAACTGCTCTTTTTAATTTGGCACACATTGCTTCCATCCAGTCCACTCTGTATAATAATGATTGCGATGCCAGGGAGGTTAACTAGGTGCACAGAGTGGTGTGCCTGATTTGTGGATGTTTGGAGAGATGTTGACAGGATGCGTGTGTGTGTGTGTGCACGTGGTAAAATGCACTAGACGACCAGCTAAGCTATTGGCTACCTAGGTTAGCTTCCTGATCATGCATAACAACAGTGGCAATTAGTATCTGAACTTGATCTGAGATATATTCTTGGTTCTTTCGGTAAAGTCACGTGGAAGGGAAACAATAAAATGATAAGAATATGAATCCCTGCAGTCACGAAAGCTTTAATTAAAAATTTTATCTGAGATATTCCCCAGTTAGACCAACAATGAGTACACAATGTATTTTCAAGCTAGGCTTAATAAATATTATATTTCAGGGACTAATTATTTGACATCCCCTCCAGCCTGCCTTGGTTTAATGGTCGGCCCTCTTGGCTTGCATTCCAGAGCTTCCCTGTGTTCACCTTCAGCTGAAACAACGGCGCAACGTTCTTGAGTTTCCCTGCCTCAGTCCACCGGGCAGTAAAACATCGTGCACACCGCAGGTCACGTGTGGTGGGCTAAATTGTGGGTACTCTGACCTCTTACAAAGATGTCTACCCTCTTGAGAAGGGGGGGGGGGCTCTCTAAAAATCCTTCTTTCGGAGACCATGAGCAAGACATTTTAGGGCCACACCTTTTACCTCCATCTCATTTCCAGAGGGATGTCAGCCGTTGATTCATGTTTGAATGCCCTTTTATAGGCTCCCCACTTTTGTTCGCCCCTGCCTAAATTCCCTCTATTGCTGCGTAACCTTAAGTAATGTTGTCTGCATATAAATGCTATGCTAACACATTGTGGCTATATAAATTGGAGTGTCCGGGCAAAGAGTGATGGTCCGGTCGCCGCAAGCCACTGCGTGTCCGACACCCCCCCGTGATCTGTGGTTTAATTCTGGCCTCCAGGGCTGAAATTTCCAACAGTTTCAATTGGCCTCTGTGTCTGCCCGCAATTGACTCGGCCTTGAAATGAGTCTGCGATTCTGTACGCCAGCTCATCTCCCCGGGGGGTGGGGGGGGCGGAGCAGCGGGGGTGGGGCGGGGGGCGAGAAGAGGCAGCGGAGTGCGTCGTTCGCTCGTCCACCTCGGGGCGCCGAACAAGTTGCTCGTGGCCGGCACCCATCCCCCTGCGGTCTCTGGCAATCACCGGGGCAGATTGGGTGGCTCGAGAGTTGCAGCGGTGCGTTGTGAAGATCCTGCGGCGTTCCACTGCGCTCCAGCTGGAGAGCGTGGTCACGGGCGTAATGATGGCAATTTCACTCGCCGAGGCCGTGTGATGGGAACGGCAAAGGTAAAGCATTCGCCTATTGATTTCCTCGGCCGAGTTTATTTACTACGAGATTCGCCGTCCTCGTGGCGGTCCAGTGGGAGTGGGGGAATTCCACATTCCCATGACAAGAGGTGACTCGCTCGACCGGACAACTGCTACATCTCTCCGACGTGTTTCTTCGGGTTGTGAAGTGAATTCGGCTCCTGAAGAAGCTCCCAGCAGTTGTTGGGAGTGAAGTGTCGGACTTCGCGCCGGAACAGCACGTGGTAAAACCCGAACGCACGCGCGGAGAGCTGCACATGACAAGCAGAGAAAGAAAAACAACTCTCTCCAGTACAAGTACTAGAAGGACCACTCTCTTCCTGTGGAGGGAGTGTAGTTCTCTGCGAAACCTAATGTCTCTTTCTCTTGGTGAAAATAAAGATTGAATTTTGAGCAAAGCGGCACCCATTCGATCAGAGGGATGATGGGCTCAGCTGGGGTTTCAGCTCACAGTCTTATGATTGTGATACGAGCACTCAAACCGTAGCGCCATGTGGCTGAATCGTTTTTGTTTGCCCCAGCTCTCCCACTACCCCCCTCGTTGTATAATTGCAGTAGAAAGCCTGGCTTGTTTGTTCATGCCACTGTGTGCCTTGCCTGCACAATCCATCCTATCGGCCCCCCCAAAAAAGTGGGCGTTCGCGCAATGAAAACCAACCTCAGCTCTTCATTGTTATGTCGTAGACTGGTGTCAGAATGGGGGTTAACTCCAGCCCGCCGATGATGAACGTCTCTGGAGGTGAGCGAGGTAACGCTTAACCTCTGAGCAACCTCTGTAAGTCTCTAGCCCCGCTCGAATATAACACATTTTTAAAGCCTTCTTCGCGAGAGCAACTGCTGCTCAAAAAGTTGTTCATTTCAAACCTTCGCAAGAGATATATCCAACTGTAAGCATTGGTGAAGTTAAATTGTGTTTGGCTGCCGCTGTTGTTCCATGTGTGTGTATTTAGTGTGGGGAGCGGTAGTGTAGCGGTTCGTGTGCTGCGCTACCACC